GCCCCTTTTATAGCGGCCACCTCTGCTTGAAAGAAGCTGCAGAGATCCGTAAATCTGAACTTAAGATCTATTGAGAGTTCCTGGCAGTAGACACCTCCTCCAAAATTCCCTACCAGCTTCTCTCCGTCCGCGAAGATGTTTCTTGGACCTCTACTCTAGAGACCGGCATTTTCCCATTCGCCCTTTGCAGGGATGTGCATGGAGAAGCATCCGTTTAAAGCCAGCCTTCACCTTCAACATAGCATTTAGCGCTAGAGTTGGAGTGGTCTGGAGCACTCCGCTGATTTCAACGAGGGCCGCCCGTTGCACGCATGGTATTTTTACAGCAGTAAAGAGCCACCGTTGCCTTTTTTACTTGCTCCTCAATATTTACCTTCCTCTATACTTTCCCGTCTAGGATCACGCTCAAGAATTTGAACCTGTCAGAGAGAACAAGTGAAACACGCCATATTGAGGGACCTTATTGCGGTTTGAACAATGGATGAGGTCAAATTCTTTCCTATATCTGCCAGGTGAAGGTTCTCCCCCGACACCAAGCACCTCTTCTCATGCCCACTCAACCGAACTCAACTAACACTGCACTGCTGGGTCTGACCCCATCAAAATACCACGTGAGCCCATTGTTAGTTGAGCTTGACTGAAGATTTACTACGACTATCCTTTCAACAAATTGATTTCGGTAACTCACCTTATTTTAGCTGCTTAGTACATTGCTCCATACGTAAATATTGTGCTTCAATAATTTTTCCAATTAACTGAAAGTAAGAGAAAATAGAAACAATTAGCATTAAATTTTGGAACTGAGAAAAAAACTTCAGAGACTTAATGTTAGAATTTCAAAACACATAATCCACTTTTTAAGATAAAGGTTAGAAATTAATGGAAGCTTTTTGTTCGGAATATGCCACGATAATAAGGACTATTTTTGGAAACGTAATGAAACGATTTCAATTTATATTTCATTTAATGCCAAATGGATACTCAACACAACATGATTTATTCGGTTTAGCAACTGTTTCGCAAATTTTGAGGTTTTCGAGGTTTCTTCTATAGAAGAAGTAATCACTTGCGAACAACACAGAACAGCTTAAGTCGAATCTTTCAAAGGCTTACATACATGTAGTTTATAGCTGAATATCGAACATTTGCCAATCAGTCCCACTGTTTAAGATATTTGTTTGTGCAGGATAACATACACATACACACACATATACATACATAGATGTATACATACATGCATGCCCTTCAAATTGAATTGAAATCTTTTTCAACACCTACAAGAGGAGCAGCAGCAACATCAAAAGATAACACTCCAAACCAAATGGCACTCAAATAACAAAAGTGTCAAATAATTTCCGGAACAAGCTTTTCACCAACATTTTACGCGACACTTGAAATTCGCATTTCATGCAACTTTTGCATTGTTTTAAGTGGAAAAGTTTAATGCTTGACGCATTTATTCTTATTTTTCCTAATATTTTTCCTATTCACAATCACTTGAAAGCGACAACAGGCAAACGCATTTTACGAGTATAAAATTGTTAAAAGTTTGAAATTCTTGAAGGAGCGAAATGGGAAAGGGGGAGGCAAAAGTGCTTACATACATTCACGTGTGCGTCTACTTATACATATGTATTTATGTGTTTGTGTGCGCAAGGATAGTCACTTGCATCATTAGGGCATTGCTTTGAAGGTGAAGTTTCTGTTTTTCAAAGAATTTTTTAGAAAATTAACAGGTGGCGCTAAGCGTGCTTTGCGACGCCACAAATTTTATGTTAAATGCAAATATAAATATTATTAACTCTTTAAGGACCAAGGGAGCATGCTTCCTAAAGTGTTTCTTTACTCATAAGAAAATTGTGCGAATCAGTTAAAATTTTTCTGCATTTACAATGTGCCTCCTTTTTTCGCCATTTTTAATTTAGAAAAAAATATTTTTATCAAAACTATACAAATTTAGCAAACACTTGAATAAAAATATATTATATAAAAAATAACAGATTTTAAGGAATAGATTAAATACACAAAAAAAAAAACAAAGTTTTAAGAAAAACTGACAAATTTTTGGAAGATTTTTTTAAGCAAGAAAAAATTTCAAAAGTATTTCCCAACAAAGTATCTTAACCAAAAATTAAACATTTTAAAAGAGAACGAAAAATGACACTGAAGATGGCACAACGCCGAAACCGGTTTGTCGCCAAACCAAATTTGACAAGGGATGACGGAAAATCGTTCCACATTACATCACACTCCTACCCTGTCGGAAACACCAACAACGAAAATGAGAATTTTAAAAAATGTTTATAGAAAAAGTTGTGAACAAAGTGAATCAGGATCAAATCGTTTCTTTCTTATAATATTTCAGGAAAAATTATATGTTTTTTAGCTATTTTTAACGTGGAATCATAGAAATAAGTATTTTTACTAAAATTAGAAAAATGTACCTACAACTTGAATATGTAAAATTATTTAAAAAAAAATATATATAAAAATAAAAAAAATTAAAAGTTTACCTTTTGAAAATTAAACAATTCTCAGTAAAGAAATTTTATAAACCATTTATTAAAAAAATACAACCTTTTGTAAAGGATATCCTAAAAGATATTTTAACCAAAAACCAAACATTAAAAAAATGCGTCTGCAAAAAATCTGTGTATAAACTGAATCATAAAAAATCATTTCTTCCTTATAATATTTAATTATTTTAATGAATTAAGTATTTTTGCCAAACGTAGAAAAATTTACTAAAAACTTGAATAACACTTAAAAGATATAAAAAATAATATACTTTGAGGAATAAAATAAGTTAAAAATTCTAAATTTTTACATTAACACAAAAATTTTTGCAGCACATATTTTTGGAACATTGAGAAATTTAAAAAAAAAAAAATTGAGAACCAATACACGATAAAAAATGTTTATAGTTGTGAACAAATTGAATCGTAAAAAAGACATTTATTTTTTATAATATTTCAGGAAGAATTATGTGTTTTGTATCCTCTCTAAAAAAAGAAGAGTTTCCCAATTCTTCCTATGCATTTTTAATTTTAGGCTTGCGGTTCAAAAAGAATTAAGTATCTTGGAAATCAAAATTTTTTTAAATAAAATAACCTGCACCAAAAGTTAATTTGTGTATAGCACTCAAAGCCACCTGGTTTAACTATGCCTGATGGCTCGAAGTTAGATCTGAAAGTAGGAGGAGGGGTATTCCATACTCAGAAAAATGTCAGCTAAATATATTTCTCTCAGCACGTGATTTGGTAACTATGTGTAATCGAACAATGTAACTAAAATCAAATCATTTGTTTAGTAACTAAAATCTTTTCTCAGTGTAGCAGGAACACTCACCTAGTCTCAGGTTTCGTCTGCATGGTCTAGGCAGCGTTCTTCAAAGCTGAATTAACAATAATCAACGAAGCTTCAACGCGGCTGATTGATTCTCTAATTAATTTGCATGCAGTAATCATCTTTTCTGATATTTGGCGCTTACTGACGCCAATTGGAAATGCCAAGTGAAGTCAAGTCCTTCTCCACTTGGTTTCTCCATCGCTAGGAATCCGTTAAAACACAAATCTACAGCGAATATTGTCCTGGAATGTGGACGTACTCTAAATGAGCTGACAAGGAGTTAAGTCACTTATGTTGTATCTGCGGAGCCCAGGTGCTGGATATCAAGGCATACCTGGCCTCCATAAGCCCTCCACCGCTTGGTGCGACAACTGCTCCGACATGTAATTGGCGCTCTCACCGGGAATAGCCTGATGAGAGCCCACGCTATTAGAATGGGTACACAGTGAAACGATTACTGTCGTAGCTACCGTGTTGTGAAGGACATCGAAGACGTGGAATGTTACCAATGCGAGTATTGCACTTTTGACGAGGGCTCCTCGACGCTCGTTCCTCGACTATTCTTTTAAACGTTTGGCTCAACTGGACTCGCCCAATATCTACGATTTTGTGCGTTTCATTGGAGCTGCAAATGGGTTCTGTTTCTATGGTAAGTAGTTTATAATACAGCGCAATAATGGGCCCATGTTGGCCTCAGTTTGCCCTTTTCCTGTGCTGGCTATACCTATAAATTAACCTAACCATTCCCGAAATAAAACTCTAAAAAACCCAATCAGACCAGAAATTTATAAGATTTTTATAAATATCGCGACTGCAGCGCCACCTAGCGGATCTGAGAAATCTTATTAGGTACTCACGTCGAATAGCACGTACAAGCAACAACATTTCACCCTAGCCAGCAAAATGATGAGCGCTTCTAAATAAATGCTTTCAGGAAGGGCCTTCCAATTGGAATATCTTCGAATAGTTCTGCCTTTCGAAGGCCTATGCAAATGTGTGTCAATATAAAGAGCTTTAATATTCGAGAGCAGAAACTCTAGCCGTTTCAGCCGAATCAGGCACAGAAGGCCTATCGCTTCAAAATATCCGAAATAAGAGCTTCCAAGGGGATCTGGTGGGACAGTATTATAAGAGCCACCCTAATATGAGTGCGCTTAGATATCCATGTAGGTATGTTTGTGCGCATACCAAAGTTTTCATGTGCATTTCGCTCTGGTTATGTTCGCCAAAAATATTTGATGTGCAGTTTGTGGCAAAACTTTTTTAAATTTTTTTCTAAAAAAAATTATACCTTGAGTATTTAGATGTGATGTAAAAAAGACACACAGAGTAACGTAAAGTTAAATCAATGACTTCAAACTTTTCTGAATAAGGAATACTGAAGAGCTGAGAAGGAAAACAAACGCAAAGCCGTCTACTCCTTTGATTTTTCGTTCTCTGTTCACGGAACATGTAAGTGGTTTTATTGAAGTTTCAATGATTCTCTCGTGCAGCGGCGAATCAGTCTCTCTGTTTTCAGATGCATTCCCATGAAAAATTTTTTTTCGACTATTAAACCAAAACGTGGTATTAGCCAGCTTGCCCAAAAGTTATAAATGGAAAATCTACGGCTTCTTGTGACTACGCAACTTCATTAGCGTAGAAAAATGTTTCATTCTGTTCAAATTACGGACATGCTGATCTTAATGAATTATCATTTAATCCATTTTAAATATTAAAAACAATTAAAAGTTTGGCAAAACCAATCGAGAAGGAAGCAATTGAGTGTAAAGGAAGGAAATATGAAAAAGAAGATAATCAGAAAATCTTTTGAATGAGCGTGAATAAATGGCGGTAGATGTATTTATGTTTAAGTATATGTACGCATACAGAATATTTGCGTATTTGCGCTCTAAAGCAATAATAGGGATTGAATTATGGAAAACAAATCTCTATCGAATTAAATTCGCAAAGAAAGTTTTGAGCAAAAATTATGAAATAATGTATGTAGTACAGCTATACAGTAATCCCTGGTAGATTGCCGTACGAGTAATATTTTGAATAAGATAAACAATTTGAATGAAGGTATGGACGAAGAGTATAAATACGAGGAGTATGTTTTTGAATTAAAAATACAGTCCGAGTTTTTATTATGTGTATCAGGGAAGCCAACTCATGGGCAATTCCCCGATTTGCGGGGAATTAGAGTTTGCGTGGTGAATCGGGTAATGGACCGTTTTTTTGTAGTGAATTTCAGTTTACATGGGGATGCGGGGATGAACTTATTTTTGTGAGGAATTAAGTATAAAACAACTTTCTTTTTTGCTTTACTAATTTCATAATGATTTAAAAAAATTTACGTTGAAATGTTTCTTAAAGTACAAAACCGCGTATCGTGGTTCTGTAAAACCTCGTAACTGACATTTGT